GACAGAGGCCAGAGAACTAATACCAGAGGTTACAGCGGCAAAAGAGCGGCGAGGCTGATGGGACAGCGGAATCCAAGCAGAGGGGTGGAGAAGAGGGGAGGGCCAGCGGTAAGGAGGAGAGGTGCAAGGGGAGGAAGGGGCAGCGATGGGAGCGGAGAGTAGGGAAGGCAAGGGTAGGAGAGGAGGTACGGTAGAAGGAGGATGAGGGCGGAAGCGCAGAGGAAGAGAGGTAAGATCGAGAATAGGCGCCATCAGGGGGAGGGGATATCAACGGAGCAGATGTGGGGAGAAAAAAGAGGAGGAATAGGAGCAAGGTAGTCAGCTGCTGAGCCGATGAGGGGAGATATAAGAGGACGAGGAATATGGGCGAAGTAGTCAGCTGCTGAGCCGTTGGTGGGAGACACATGAGGAGGAGGAATAGGGGTGAAGTAGTCTGCTGCTACGCCGCTGAGGGGAGAAACAAGAGGAGGAGGGATAACGGCGGAGTAGTCTGCTGCTGCGCCGTTGAGGGGAGAAACAAGAGGAGGAGGGATAACAGCGGAGTAGTCTGCTGCTGCGCCGCTGAGGGGAGAAACAAGAGGAGGGATAATAGCAGAGTAGTCTGCTGCTGCGCCGCTGAAGGGAGAAACAAGAGGAGGAGGAAGAATTTTGAAGGAGTCAGCAGTTGAGCAGTTGAGGGGAGGATATTGAGGAGGAGAAAAGGTGTGGAAGAGCAACAGCTACAAGATACAATCAGTTACCAGCTGCAGCAGATGAGGAGAGGAAGGAGGAGGAGGAAGAGGAGGAGGGAGGTGAAGGGGCGGATTGCGGGGACGAGGGATGAGCACGGGTACGAGGTGGCAGCCAGCAACCAGCAGCCAGCTGCAGCAGATGCAGAGGGGAAGCAGGAGGAGAGGAGGAGAGGCAAGAAGGAGCGGGAGGAGAGAAGAGAGGAGGAGGAGAGTGGAGAAGTGGATGCGGTGGGCGGATAGGGTGAGTGTGGGGCGCGAGAGTCTGGGAAGGCGCACCACGAAGAAGTGCGTAGGCGCACGGGAGGAGAGGAGGCTGGGCACCCGTGAGAAAGAAAGAGAGGGCGCTCGGGAGGGGATAGGGAAGGGCGGCCAAGCGGGGCGGGACGTCCGCGACAAGAGGGCAGGGCAGGGGCTCGAAGATGGGGGAAGGCGCGCGCAGTGACAGGGCAGGGCGCACGACGTTCGTGAGAGGCGGCTAGGGAGGGTCCGCGATCGCTTTGAGTGGTCGCGCGGCTGCCTAAGGGGAAATCTGCGACTTAAAAAAAAGGGGAAAAAAAGTCGAGATTATAGAAAGCTGGAATTTTGCGAGTGTCTAGGAGTGCCTAAGAGTCTAAGCATCTAAGCATCATTAAGTGATGTGAATAATGATGAATTGCCTGGGATTAGGCTCTGGATACCATGTTAGGATAGGACTTGGAGCCATGGCTAGAGAGAATAGTCGAAGAGATTGACTAGGAAGAGTGTCGAGATACAAATGTAGGAAACCCTAATTGAACTTAGGGTGTGTTCAGTTTGTGCTAGGAACTAAGAAATGAACCTAAAGTGAACCAAGAGTGTAACTCGCTCTAAACATGGCGAAATCACAAAAGAACACCATGATAAATGCCAGAGCGAGCTCTAGCCTACTCCAACATTTCAAACCGCCACGTCATCCTCAACCCTCACCTTTCGCCACGTCATACCCTCCTACATCCGCCACGTCCACCAACAGCCCGCCCCACTTGCCACGTCACACCCCCCCACCCCAAGCCACGTCACCCCCCACCAACCTGACATGCCTCGCCCCGTCATGCGCCGCTCCCTTGTACCCTTTCAAACCGCCACGTCATCCTCAAACCTCACCTTCCGCCACGTCACACCCTCCTGCATCCATGCTCGACCACCAACAACCCGCCCCACTTGCCACGTCACCCCCCCACCCACCCCGAGCCACGTCACCCCCCACCCACCTGACACGCCTCGCCCCGTCATGCATCGCTCCCTTGTACCCTTTCAAACCGCCACGTCATCCTCAACCCTCACCTTCCACCATGTCACACCCTCCTACATCCACGCTCGACCACCAACAACCCGCCCCTTTTGCCACGTCACACCCCCCCACCCCAAGCCACGTCACCCCCCACCCACCTGACACGAATCGCCCTGTCATGCGCCGCTCCCATGTACCCTTCAAACCGCCACATCATCCCCAACCCCGCCCTGGTTGCCACGTCAACCCCAACCCGTCTCATTTGGCCCGCCACATACCGGGAATGGGTTTGTCTCCTGCAACATTAGCACTCGTGCCTTGTCCACGGCACTCATCGGCGGTGGGGTACCAGCCAAAGGCACCACTGCGGACCCCCCAGCATAACTGGAAGGTGCTCCACGACGCAGGCCGAGCTGAGAAAACATGGCGTACATCTCATACCGTAGCGCTTGGAACTCCTCCCATGTTACAAACTGCTCGTGCTCCGCACTTTCACCTAGGGCACCCATGAGATTGGGAACAGGGTGTCGAGAACCCCCCCTCTGGCCAAGGGGATCAACGTCTTCCGCAGCAGTCCCGTGTACCCTCACACTATCACGCTGGCGGGAAAAGGGCAGCTCAGGGAAGGGATTGGTAGAAGTGCTTGGCTGATGCTCGCGCGAAGGACCGGCGAGGGGGGAGACCGCCCTGCCCCGGACAGGAGAAGCGTGGAGCTGCCGATATGGGTATGAGGGTGATGCGAGTGGGGAGTGCGTGAGGTGGCCTGGTGGAGGGGATTCGGCTTCCTCTCCGCCAACTGCTGCCGCTTGCAGCCACCCTAGGTTCTGCCGCCAGCGGCTTCCGCCCTTGCAGTCGCCTATGCACGCTGTTACAGTCGCTACCGCTCCTACTTCTACCACTGCTGCCACTACACCTGTCGTTTCAGCTACTGCCACTGCAGTCGCTACTTCAGCCCTTGCGCCGCTACTGCTGACTGACGCCGCTTGTCATGGCCATTATTACTGTCCTAGCAGTTGAAGCAGACGAGCGCCCTTTCATGTTTGAGTTGTGGCTTGCCAACCTGCGCCGGTATCTCCGACGTTTCGTTAGAGATTGTGTTTCCCTACTCGAGCACACGTCGGGGTCCCTTCAGGCCCCCACGGCTCCGACTGAGCCTGCTGCTGATGTGCGAGAGGACGTACAGTGGCGGTATCAAGCGGACCGCCTTGCCTACATACAGTGGACGTAGCGCGACGCTGTCGCACAGCTTGCTGTCCGAGCTCACCTACCGGTCGACCAGTGGGCCCACTTTCACCAGGTGATGTTGGCCTATACTTTTTATGACGCTGTGGTTAGACACTACTCCTCCCTCTCTCCTGCCACCCGGCCACTGTGGTAGCACCGTTCGTTGTTAGGGGAGGTGCAGCAGCTGGTCGAGGAGGCTAGTGTAGGTACATGTGCGTTCGCTCGTACAGGTGGTGCAGCTGGTGGAGGCGGAGGTTTTGGGGGTGGACAGCAGCGGCAGCAGTGTCAGCAGGAGACATTCCTTGGTGGTGTAGAGGCTGCTAGTCTAGGTGCTTGTGAACCTGCTAGCAAAGGTGCAGCTCCTGTGGAGGCTTTGCACACCTTCACGCTTGACTCCGGCGCGACTCGCTGCTTCTTCCGCGACTGCACCCCGGTCACACCGCTCACTACACCTGTCCCAGTCACTCTGGGTGACCCCTCTGGGGGACCATTCATTGCACGTGCCTCCACCGTTCTCCTGTGTCCGGCAGCCCCCTCTGGCTCCCTCACTGGTTTCCACCTCCCCTCGTTCGCTAAGAACTTGGTGAGTACCGCTGTCCTCTAGGACCAGTTTGTCACTGTCACTACTCTTGGGGGTGAGCTTGTGGTGATCTGTACGGACTCACGGACTGGCGTCCACCTCGCCACGTTCACTCAGGGACTTGGGTCTGGCCTGTACACACTGACCACCGAGTCTGCACAGGTAGCTGCGTCTGGTCAGGTAGATGCGTCTTGCTCGTGTCGGTTACTCATTCACCCGTCTCTCCTCTGGCACCACCGTCTGGGTCACCCCTCCCTGCCGCGTCTGCGTAGCATGCACTCCCGTCTCCTTGTCTCTGGCCTTCCTAGGTCCCTGACCCCGCTCCCGCGGTCACTTGCACCGCCGTGCCTTCCCTGCGTCGAGGGGCAGCAGCACGCCGCTCCTCACTCCTCCTCGTTTTCTCCTACCACTGCTCCTCTTCAGAATCTCCACATGGACGTGTGGGGCCCCGCCTACGTCCGTGGACAGGACGACGAGTGCTACTTTATGCTGGTTGTTGACGACTATACGCGCTACACCACGGTCTTCCCCTTGCAGAGCAAGGCAGATGTCCGCGATGTTTTGATTCCCTGGATCCGCACTGTTCGTAGCCAGCTGAACGCACGGTTTTAGCAGGACCTTCAGGTCCTGCGACTGCACTCTAACAGAGGCGGTGAGCCTTCCTCCCGCCTCCTCGAGGACTTTTTTCATGAAGAGGGCATCGCCCCGTCGTTCACGCTTTCGGCCTCTCCACAACAGAATGGGATTTCTGAGCGCCACATTGGTTTGATCGTAGAGGTTGCTCGCACCTCCATGATCCATGCGGCTGCTCCCCATTTTCTCTGGCCGTTTGCGGTCCGATACACCTAGCATCAGCTCAAGCTTTGGCCCCGTGTCTCCGTGCCAGAGACCTCGCCCACACTGCATTTGACGGGGGAGGTTGGCGATGCGTCGGCGTTTAGGGTCTGGGGCTCACTCTCCCTTGTCCGCGATACCAACCTGGGCAAGCTCTCTTCTTGCACTGCTCACTGCATCTTCCTTGGCTTTCTCACTGACGTGCCTGGCTGGCAGTTTTACCACCCAGCCTCACCTATTTGCTCTTCATCTGTACGCGTGCCTGGTGGTGTGGTGTTGGGTTGGGTTGGGTTGGGTTGGGTTGGGTTGGGTTGGGTTGGGTTGGGTTGGGTTCGGTTGGGTTGGGTTGGGTTGGGTTCATCAGCGCCCTTTCCCGTCCCCCATGCGAATATGCAAGCAGGTGGGAGAGAGGGGCGTGCAGCTGTCAGGAGGGCAGAAGCAGCGCATTGCCATTGCTGCGACAGTGCTAATGCGTTCACCATCACACGTATTCAACACCCGCTCTTCCCTTCCCGTCCCCCATGCGAATATGCAAGCAGGTGGGAGAGAGGGGCGTGCAGCTGTCAGGAGGGCAGAAGCAGCGCATTGCCATTGCCAGAGCCATCCTGAAAGACCCGGCAGTACTGCTGCTGGACGAGGTATGGTGACAGTGATAGGTGGTGATGGGCGGTGATAGGTGGTGACAGGTGGTGATGGGTGGTGATGGGTGGTGATAGGTGGTGATGGGTGGTGATGGATGGTGATGGGTGGAATGCTCATAGCAGTCTTAGTGAGCACACTTTCTGCCATCGCCAGAGCCATCCTGAAAGACCCAGCGGTGCTGCTGCTGGATGAGGTGCAGTGTCTATTTCAAATGTGTCCCGGCTAACTCACCTGCTTGAAGAAGTGTTTTGAGACGTCTCAAAACACTTCTTCGAACACTGCTGCTGGATGAGGTGCAGTGTCTATTTCAAATGTGTCTAGATGACATTTCAAATGTGTCCCCGCTCACTCACCTGCTCACTCCCCAGTCACTCACTCACTCCCCAATTTCTCGCTCACTCCTTACTCATTCACTCACTCACTCACACGTCCTTTGTCGCTTCAAACTTCTCCATCCTGCATGGCTCTCCCCTGCAGGCCACGTCAGCACTGGATGCGGAGTCTGAGGTGGCGGTCCAGTCAGCGCTGAACCGCATCATGATTGGCCGCACCACGATTGTCGTCGCGCACCGCCTCTCCACCATCTGCCACGCGGACTGCATTGCTGTGCTGCAGGTGGGGGGAGGGGGGGGTGGACAAGGGAGAGGGAGTGTGTCTGTTGGGTTGAGTAACAGAGTGATGGGATGTGTGGAGGGTTGAGTGCTTGAGTGATTCTCGCCTCTCCACCATCTGCCACGCGGACTGCATTGCTGTGCTGCAGGTGACGGAAATGTTGGGGTTGGGGATGGGGGGCGGGTGGCATGGTTGGGCTGGGCTGGTTAGCAGAGTAGCGAGGTGTGCATTGTGCCGCCTCGCCTCTGCACCATCTGCCATGCCGACTGCATTGCTGTGCTGGAGGTAAATGGAGGAGGGAATTGGGAGGGGGGGTGTTGGCCTGCGTAGCAGAGTGATGGGGTGTGTGGTGGGTTGAGTGACTGTGTGGTGGGGGGAGGGTGTGGGAGAAGTGAAGGGCTTGCTGCTGTGGCTCCATGGCTCTCATTTCTCACCCACGTGGTAATGCTGACATGCTGTATCTACATTGTATCATGTCTCTTTACTATGTGCTTATTGTGTTGTAGGGTGGGAGGCTGGTGGAGCAGGGCACTCATATGGAGCTCATAGGTGTACCCAATGGTGCTTATGCCACTCTTGTGCAATTGCAACAAAGGAATAAGGTCGCCATGTGATGCCTTTCATGCAATGAAGTACTTGTCTATCCTTTTGTGATTAGTATCAATTGTAGTGCACTACTTGAATGTATATATCATGGGTACGAGGATCATTGCAGTACTATGGTTACTGCATTGGCCCTCAAATCCTGCCACGCATCATGCAATGGGCCCCAGTAAACAGTGCACCAACCCCCCTTCCCCTCCCCCCCCCCCCACCCCCCCCCCCTCTTCTCCTTCATAAGCCTTTTTCTTCTATTGGTGATTGGATGGTGTGCAATTGCCGATGGTAGGATCTTGACTAAGCAATGACCTGTCCATTCCAACGCGATAGAGTGAATCAGCATTGAGGTAATCAAAGTATCATACACACACAATTACACATGCGTGCACGAGGATGTATAATGTTTGCAAGACATCAATACACAATACGTTTGTTTTGTGTTATAATTAAGTGCTGTAATCATTGTTGCTGCGAGAGAAGCTTGTAAGTGTAGCTATTCTGGTAAAAAATGAGAGCACCAATCACATTTCCATTCTGGTGGTGGAGGTGGTGTCAGGGGTGCATCAAGGCTGTCCCCTCGCGCCGTACCTTTTTCTGTGCGCTGTTGAGCCGCTGGCGCAGGAAGCCGTGAATCGCAATCTGGGCCTCACAGGGGGCGATCAGCGGCTAGCTTACCTGGGGTACGCCGACGACACGACGTTGCTCCTGCAAGGGGAAGAACAGATAACAGAGGCTGAGAAGCTGCTTGACGACTTCGAAAAGGAATCGGGGCTGGCGACCAACAAATCAAAGTCGGCTGTCTTACCTTTGGGCTGCAACTTGAACAAACAGGCCAGCAAAACCGACGGCTTCAAATGGGTGAAGGCCGACGAGGCGGAGAGACTGTTGGGGGTCTGGGTGACGCCGGCCGGCTGCTGCGCGCCCACCTGGGAGAAGGCGTTCGCACGGATAAAGGAGAAACTGAGGCAGTGGGAGGCGCAACACTTGACGACCGGGGGGAGGGCAGCAGTAATAAACTGTTACATCTTACTTATCATTTTCTTCCAGGCGCAGGTGTACCCACCTCCGGTTGACATCTGGGGGAGAATCCTGAAGCTGACACATAACTTCATGTCTGGGAACCGGGCCTCCACAGACAAAGCTTTCATTCTGTGGAGCAAGGAGCTGTTGTACATGGCTAGAGTGGACGGGGGAGTGGGGGTGAACGACCCGGAGATAGCCCTCACCTGTCTCACAGCGAGGCGTATCGGCCTACTCCTCACCGAGACAAACGAGCTGAAACGGGACATCATGCTCAAGGCTGCTGACTTGCCGCTGGGGCTGGACACTTTTGTCTCCCATGTCAAGCTCCTGAAGTGCTGGATTGGGAAGAGTGAGCGATGGAAGCTGGCCTGCGGCGACTTCATGTAATCGCCGCTGGCCGACACGTCACCAGCGCTGTCACGGGCGGAGGCAGAGAAGGAGAGGATCGTTTTCAACCGCCATATTCTGCTAAACGGGAGGACTCCGGTGGGAGGGCAGAAGGCGGCGGAGAAGCTCTGGGAGGTCCGGCTTTGCGACTTGCTGTGCCCGGACGGTGCGGAGGGCCGGCGGCCTAAGGACGTAAAGCTCATGGCGAAGGAGCTAGGCGGTACTAAACAAGCGAAGTTGGCGCTGCGGGCCTGGGACGCAGTGCCGCAGAACTGGAAGCTGCTACTTCTGCCTGCCGAGCAACAGGAGGGGGTCTGTCCGGCTCCGAGGGCTCCTCTCCAGAGAACCCTGGTGCTCAGCGGTGGGCAGCTGACGTCGCTGAGGGAGCTGAAGGGATGCTGGCAGGGAAAAAAGCATCAGTCCGCAAAGAGGGAGCTGTGGGCGGGCAGATGGGGAGGAGAAATAAACTAGAAGGAGGTCATCAAGATCCGGGACTCTCTGGTGACCCCAAACAGGCCTCGGGATGTGCTGTTAAGGATTCACAGTCTGAATCTACAAGTGGGGGAACGGCTCTCTTTCCTAAGTGGCAAGCCGGTCTGCCCGCACTGTGGGGATTTTGAGACCCTGGAGCACTGCCTTTTCACCTGCCCGCGCATTCAGCTGGTGGTGGGGGCGGTCAGGCGGGCCATGCGTTTGCTTCATCCGGCGAGGCAAGTGGAGAGTCTGGGCGATTTGCTGTTCGGCAAGGCAGCATCGCTGAAGCCTTCCCTGAAGCCTCGCTGGCAGCAATTGCGGTGCACCAGATATGGGCAGAGCGGTGTGATTGTGTTTTCCGAGAGAAGCGTTTCCGGGCTCGGCGCGTCCTCAGGCGCATTGAGGCAGCTTTTCGTCTGCATGTGAAAGTGTACACCCGCGCAATGGGGAGGAAGCTGGGAAAGGGCGGTGGTTCGAAGCGACAAGGGAGAACATTGGCACTGGCGGGTCTGGAAAGCTGTTTGCTTGGACGCATCCGATGCATGAACGAGAAGGGTTGGAAGTGGACCCGCAATTTCGGGGCACTGTGGAATCTCGTGCGTGGCGCTCTACATCCGCCTTAGACACTGCCTCTGGGGCCGTTACTAGTTTCGGCCTCTCGCGCTCAGTCACGACTGACATATGTTTTCGTATGCGCATGTACCATCAGTGTATAGTGAACATATTCCAAAAAAAAAAAAAAAAAAAAAAAAACATTTCCTGCTTCACCAGCAATACAGTACATTCTTTACAAGACCAGACAAGACGACCAGCCGAACTGAATCCCGACCGATCCCCACCACACACACTCGATTGGATGAACTTGGAAGGTCGTCATTGGTGCGCAGAGGAGATCATTTATTGCTGCGTTGAGAGCCAAGTGTGGATTGGCTGCTTGGTCGCAGGATTCGCGACGAAAACGCGGGCTTGACTGAAGAAGCTTCGTGTGCTGGTTCTGTGGCGTTCGCGCGTCGGACTCGGTTTTACTGTAGGGTACACTGAACTCTTTTTTTAGAAACTCGCAGCTGCCGGACAAGAGCAATGGTTGAAGTTTTCTGGCAACGGCCAGTCGTCACAAGCGCATGCCAAAACATTTTGTTTCTTGATCACGTGTAATGTTTTCAAGTTTCTAATGCTAAACACGCTGGGCTACCCAAACATTCTAACCTGTTGATGAACTGCAAGCCTTTTTAAGCCCTGCATGCAGCGTGTCGAATGAGAAGCAGCTTCCCGAAAGGAAGCGGATCTAAAAGGGCATCAGGTGTATGTTGTACAAGTTACAGATATAGAAATGGTTGCCGGAAGCGGTCCAAAAGATGCTTTCCTGTATGTTACGGAATCCGGAAGCTCCTCCAGTCCAGACCGGATGCTGAAGTGGGAGGGTGGAGGATATTTTTGTGCTCACCATCACCACCATCACACCATCTCACCGACCATATCGTGATTCCACCGAGTGTGAACCAGGTGTGTACGTGTATTGTATTGTTGTTCCAGGATTTCTGCCAGTAGCACCTGTCCAGGGTGGTTCGATATGCTATGCAACCAGAAATACATTTTCGACCACAGTTGTATCTAGTTTGTTGGCAACGCCAGATCAACGTCAAGAAAAAGAGCAAGGCCGTCACAGGTGACGACGCGCGATCGGACATGACCCGTCACCCGACCCGACCCGGAAACAATTGCGTTCCCTCGCCGCCCAGGGCCACTGTGGTGTTTTCAGGTGAATTTCAGTTCAGTCTTCGGTTCACCACTGGATGCAACTTGACACTCGGTAAAGGGGGCACAGCCGCACCACCTGTCCAGTGGTTTGATCACGGATACTCCCATTTCCTCCTCCTCACTTCTTCTGGCGCTGATCAACATGCTGGTGCAATGCAGCTACGATTCACTTCGAGAGTGGCTTCCAACACATTGCAGAACGGTGAATTACGGTGCCTACGTTTCCAGAACGGCACAGCCTGGTAACTGCTTCACACACAGTATAGACTTCCGTGCACGCCTGAATTGCAGAACTGTTCGAATTTATTCCAAGGTTCGAGGGGGCACTTCGCCATGTTGCAACCAGGCTAACCAATTTAAGAACCCCATACCGTTTCCAACCGCTTTATAGGAGTGTTTCTGAGAACAAACTGAATTTCGACCTTCCGTCACAGCTTTTCAGCGCTAAAACAAAGAAGAAACCACTTCCTCCTCATTTGATTCCCATTCCCCATAACCATTGGTCATCCTCTACGCCGCCGAGTTGTTCGCGCTGATCTTCTCTCGCGGCGTTGCACAAAGCGCTCTCCTAGTAGTGAGTGCACGAAGCGCTTAGAAAGTATACGCGCTGCGATCATGAGTTCCGCCATGGTGAACCATGCGTCCGGGAACCGCGGCCTGCTACTTAACAGAGGCTATTCGCAGAAGGAAGCAAAGGCTCGTAACTGGGAAGGTGAGCACAGCGCGACTTCAGTCTTCTCGCAGATGACACGTTCTCCGTTTCGTGTTGTGTGCAATGTAGGAGCTGTCTCAGCATCTCTTTACTTCTCGTAGAGTTTTGGGCGTTATGACACGGATTTCGAGCAAAGCTCATGTAACATTATCTGATTGACGTGGTGGGTCAGCGTTGTGGCAAACACTAACAGCAATGGTCATGCTCCCCTCGCAGATCTTGAGAAGAGATGCCAAGCCATGGACTCCTCCAATGCCAGAATCGACGGCATAGATCTCACCTCGCTCCTCGAAGATTTGGAAATCGACGGCGCCGGCGGCGGCGACGATGTCGCGAGCGCAGACGGCGATTTCGCGAGCGGCGGTAGCAGCCGTGGCAACGGCACGACATTCATGTCCCGCGCAGCGACGGTGTCGACTCCAGCTTCAGTCACCTCTATCACTTCAGTGACTTATTCTCCATCATACGACGACGGCGATGACGGATCTCCCCATTTCAGCACTCCGGCCCGGACCGACTCGAAGCCTCGACGACGGAGTTTCACACTGGACCGTCGCGATCAACGTGGTATTATCACCAGTGACGCGGCCGCATCGGCCGCGGCAGCAGCATCATCGTCGCCCACGGCCAGGAATGCAGCCGCCTCGTCGACGGCTCGAAGCGTCTTTTCGTACCATTCGCCGCTTCACGCGGCGGGCGGCGCGGCGCGAAACAGCACTTCGAGTCGGCTTCAAGTTGACGTCACTCCTCAGAACTCCGGGTTCGTCAGCAGAACCATGGGGAGTCCGTCTCTCGTCCAACCAAATGTGCTGCATTCGTCGCAAAGCGACTCCGCGGTTGGACGGAGTAGATACGGCATGCAGAGTGGTGCCACCAGTGGGAGCTCGTTTGGCTCCACATGCAGCGACGGGGGTTCAGCCATTGGGACTCCTGCGATTACTGCGACTGCTGCGACTCCTGCAAACGGTGTTGTTTTTCCGGTGCAGAAGTTTCAGCCAGGCGTGGTGTTCTCAAGCCCCATGCACCTGCCTCACCAGGATTCTTCTTCGGACGCGTTCAACGCAGCTGGAGCCACCACGTCTGGGTCGTCGCTTGGGGAGTCAGCTGTATCGCCTGGATCATCACATGGATCATCGCATGGATCGTCGCCTGTAGTGTCATCAAGATCCCTGTCTGGAGCATCCCCTGTCTCCTCCGATCAGGATCCCGCCACCATGATTCCTCACCACTCCAGCTTGACTGCGCTCTCCAATTCCTCTGCTGCTTCCTCTGCAGCAGCTGCCCGTCACGTCCGGAGCAACACGGGCAGCCCGAAAACGATTTTCAGATACGTTTTACAGCCCGGGCAGGCACCGCCAGGGTCTATCAGTCAGATCGAGAGGAACGGGCAGGAGGCTAGCAGCACGGCGGGCAGCGCTATGAAAAGTATCGGGGAAGGGGCGGTGGTGCAGGAGAAGGAAAAGGCTCTATTGAAGGAAGGTGGTGGGAGTGCGTGGGCGTCTGTCAATGCTCCCGCTGAAGGAACGCAGGCGAATGTGAGGGTGAGAGCTGGAGCTAATCCCGCTGCTGTAGAGGCTTATTTGAAGATGAAAGCCCAGCGAACAGGACGAAGATAGGGGGGATTCTCCTCAACCTCAGACCAACACATCGTGAAATAACTTACCTTGCAGAGTGTTAGTGTGATTTGCATAGTGTTAGTGTGTAAGAGTTGTTATACGTAGATAAGTAAGTAGTGAATGTACCATAGTAGATATCCCCAGTCATTTGACAAAGCCCTTCCAAGAAATGTTTGAAGATGCGTTCACCTATATTATTAAAAATGACCACAAACCCACGGATGCATTACCTGCTTAAACTACACACAATTGAATACAGCAAAGCACTCCTGCTTGCCTCATTGTTTTGGGTCCACACTGCACGGTATGTACAGAAACTCTTTCCAGAACTATCATCTCATCACACATGAACACACACACACAGAGGAGTATAGAACGTCACACAAATCAGTGTCGACGATGTACATTTATCTTCCTCGTTGAGCCTTCAACTTAAAATACGCCTCAATAGCAGCGGGGTTAGCCCCTGCTTTCACCATCACTGTCACCCCACTGGGCTTGCAACTGCCAACAGCAGCAGCAGCAGGAGCAACAGTTGGCACTTTATTCTGACCTGCCTGCGCAAGTCGACCTTCCCCACCTGCACCCGATTCCCCACTGCTGGTGGGACGGAGGCGTGCTGCTGATGCGACAGTCACACTAGGCGTGTGTGACACGAGTGGCGACACGTCTCCCGCACTGCTCTGCCGTAGGAGCACGCGGCAAGGCGACGGCTTGAAGTCAGATCCCGCAAGGCCAGTGCCGCAACTGCCGCTGGTAAGATCATTGCTGCTTCCGCCGAAGCTACTCCCCCCGAAGCTGCTTCCGTAGCTGCTGCCGAGCTCCATGCTCCCGCTGTGGCTGCTGTTCAGGCTGCTCGTCGACCCGAACCCGTGCCGCAAGGGGCCGCTGTGAGGGCCGGTGTGGGGCCCGCTGGGGAGACTTTCACTCCGGGGGGCGCCGCCAAGGGGGCTTCCGCTGTGGCTGCTGTTCAGGCTGCTTGTCGAACCAAACCCGTGCCGCAATGGGCCGCTGTGGGCCTTTTCGCTCTGAGGGACGCCTGAAAAGGGGCTTCCGCCGGTGTGGGGCCCGCCGGTGTGAGGGGCAGCGAGGGGGCCGCTGTGGGGGGCGCAGCCTTCAGGGCTGCGTCGCGCAGGGCTCCCCTTTAGTTGAAGCGAGCCGTCAGAGTGGTGCTGCGCCCCGCTGCTGGCGCTTCCGCTGAAGCTGTACTTTCGGCTCAGGCCTTATCCGTCCCTCTTGACTTGAGGCTCCTGATAACCGCGCGCCGCTCCTTCCGCGTCGTTGCTTTCGGTGGCCTTTTCGAGGCGTGCGCGTCTTTCGTTGGCAGTTCCGAGATGGAGCGACTCAGACGCGCCCGAGAAAGAGCTCCGCCGATGTTGCTTTGGCGGAGGATTTGCCGCCGCGTCAGGGCGATTGATGGGGGAGAATGTGTGGCTCAGGCGGGAGGCGGGGCGGGCGCCGGGGGCGGCGGCGGAGAAATGGGGGGTGCATTCTTCGGCGTTGTTCGAATCATCGTCACTGCCGCCTCTATCCTCTTTACCGTCGTCCTCGCTACTGGCATCATCGCTATCCGCGGGAGCGATGCCTTCTTCCAGCATGTTAGTGAGATCAATGCAGTCGATCTGCACGTTGTTCGAATCCATCGCGGCGCATGTTCGCTCCAGCTCCTCCCACCCGTGCGACGCGGAGCTATCTGTCTCCGAGCCGCTCTCCTCTACCACCGCTTCCAATGCCGACCGCAGGCCGCTCATATTCACCGCGCCGCTAGCTTTCCCGCCGATAGTACTACCCGCGAGGCGACCGTTACCAGCTCCGCTTATAATGATGCCTGGTTGAATGCCGCCGCATGTCGCGCCGCTCGTGCCGCCGCGGGAAGCTCTATCCGCTGCGTCTGCGCTTTTTCTTCCGCCTCGCGGTTTTCCGCCGCGGAGGAGTTCCGCGGTCATTCCAAGGCCAATCCCGCCAGTGAGCATGTTGAATCGCTGCTCGATGGACGGGTCGGATGCTCTCACGGTGCATATCTTGCTCGCCATGGATGCTGAAGCTGAACGGGAGGATATTTGGTTTATACTTGGATTTGTTCGAGGTTTCGAACGGGAGATGTCAGGCGTAAAGGAGAATGCGGCGTAGCTCCTCGGCTGAGTCGAAAGTGTTTGCTTGCTCTGCTATAAACTGCAGAATCAGTGCACTCTGCTCTGTCGTGCAACTGAAATGTGGTCTCCCTCGAGATCGTGTATTGTTCATCCCTTGCAATTCGGCCCTCCTCCCCAAACAGTTGATCCATCCAGCCAGACCACCAGACTGAGAGAATCGAAGCGCCTTAGCTGTCGCCCCGCATCGCGTTTGGATTCGAGCAGTGGAGTGGTATTGCCCAGAGTACAGTAACTATACTGCACATCAGATTGCATCCTGGCGAAGTTGTGATTCTTGTTCTCGAAATGCCAACGACGATGATGAATGGCTGCGAATCGTTTCGTCAACAATGGTATCCGGTGACTGATGCAAGCTGACAACAAGTAACGACAGCCTGTCGAGAAGGCAACAATCCTGCCCTTCCGCGTGTCACATCAAATCCTGCCTCATCTGTAACCACTGTGGGAACTCAGCTGCTGCAGCCAGGAAAGTTCAAGCCATTGAACCCGTGCCCAATTGCGACAGGTGGCATGCAAAAAACGTCTGGCGGCACACGTCACCCTTCGTCATAAGCAAGTTGACGGACACACACATGCAAGACTGTGAGAGTGGACAGTGGTGTAATGCACTGTACACGTCACCCGCCGACACAGATAGCATCAATCTTTTCTTCCAATCGACGCCAAGCGTAACACTGCCCATAGGTCCAAATACTAGGCGATCCCGACTGATTTGTTGGAAACGACTTTTCGATGCTTGTTGCTCCGAAGAGGCACCCAAATGTCAGTATCCGAAGCTGTAGATGACACCTTCAGCTTATGCTCCTTATTGTATGGACATATAGCTTCCACCTAGAAAACAGAAGCATGCATTTATGCATCCATAAAATTTTAGTACCTTATGCAAACACAATTTGAGTTTCATTTTTTAACTGGTTTACAGTATGAGAAAAAAATATAATAAATTTCCAATCGAATATATTGTTAAAAAAACAGAATGTATTTACGACTCCAGTCAATTAAGGACAATAATAAAGTGTTAAGGAAACTATTATTATGGCTGAATATTTGTATGTTATTTCCACATTTTGTAGCACAAGGGTTGAGTAAGATAGATGAGCATGACATCCTTATGATATCTTTCAGTACCGTCATGTAGAAGTATGTTTCATGTCAAGCTCTGGGTGTTTGTGCTACCCGCGCCTCATTGTGATCACAGGTTTCCCACCGCGCCTCTGACTTCCAAATCCAACCACCCACTCACCTGTCCACAGCATCCTTTCCCCTTTCCCCCCTCCCAAACTTTCCCGAACCACGTAAACCAGGAGAATAGCGGGAACGATCTGTACCACGATATTATAGTATATCACCGTATCTTACCATTTGTATTTCCCTTTCCCATTCCCCATTCCCATACCCTTTCCCCGATTCCCCGTTCCCCTGAGTTTTTGCTCCCGTTTACATTCCCCGTTTCCCGCCTCCGCATCCCCCCTAGCCCTTCCTCTCCCCCCGCCGTTCCCCCAATTCCCCGCCCTCGGGTTAGGTATTGACAGAACCTCCTAGGTTTATTTTCTTGGTCATTTGCGACTTCCGTCTTTTCAGGTCGCTGTTCGGCGTCCCACCATGGCTTCCAGACGAGCGCTCCTTGCGGCTCTCCGCTCCGCATCCCGCCGATCATCGCAGCCCACCAAGTACGGAACCACCGCCAACCGCTTTTTCTCCTCCGCCACCTCCACCCCCGCCTCCCGCTCCCCCGCCATCGCTAACGCCCTTCTCCGCGGAAGCACGCTCGCAAACGCCGGCCGTCATGTCCCCGTGCGCTCATTCGCCGCGGAAGCCGCCGCGGTCGCGGAAACAACCCCCGAGGACTTTACCGGCGCCGGCAGCATTGGACACATCTCGACGGTTATCGGAGCCGTGGTGGACGTTAAATTCGACAAGGGCCTTCCGCCGATTCTGACGGCGCTCGAGGTGCAGGGGCACTCGATCCGCGTGGTGCTGGAGGTGGCGCAGCATCTTGGGGAGAACACTGTCCGTACGATTGCCATGGATTCTACCGATGGGCTCGTGCGCGGCCAGCACGTGCTCAACACGGGATCGCCTATCACGGTGCGATCCGTCGATCTAGATTCTTTTCGCGCTTTTAGGTCAGATCTAGGGGATGACGTGAAGGATCGGTGGCTGCGTTCCTGATCGCGCGATTAGGTTAAGATCGATCTTGGAGAGAGCCGATGGAGATATAGGAGGAGTGGCTGAACGAAAGAAGCTGTTAACAATGGATCTGTAGTTTTTTCCTGTGGATCGAGGCGATCTTGATCTGCATCGAGACGATCTTGATCTGCATCGAGCCTGACGTGATCTTCCGAGCCTGATTGCCGATCGACGAAGCGCGCCTGGATCTGTTGCTGATTTCCAGTCTAGCCGTTTCGGACCCGTCGGCTTTGCCTTGCCCTGTTTCTCGTTCATCTTGTTTCGGCTTTACCACTCTCCTGCTCTCCGTGTCATCATCTGTTCGTTTCCTCTGCTGCGTCGACGCAGATCCCCGTGGGTCGCGCGACGCTCGGTCGCATCATGAACGTCATTGGCGAGCCCATCGACGAGAAGGGCCCTCTCGGTAAGTCATGGAATTTATTTTCCTACGTTTCATTTTCTTGCTTTTCATTTTTCCTGTTCCCTGTGTACTGATCCAAGTTCTCTGTCGCGTTTGTCCCTCAATCGGACGCTCTCACCTGGTCCATCTTCATGCTGCCATTTTTTTCGTTTTTCTTGTTCTTGTCCTGATTTCCCTTGTCCATTTTTATGTTTTTTCTCTTTTTCTTTTTATTTTCTCGCAGAGTCCCCTCACAGCCTGCCCATTCATCGCGAGGCTCCTCTTTTCACCGACCAGAGCACGGAGCAGGAGATTCTCGAGACCGGTATCAAGGTATACAATAGCGGGGACAGTTATCCAGCGATCCAGCGATCTAGTGATGATTGGCACGCGTATTAAGTAACCCTATCCAGCAGGGTCGGCACTGATCGCAGGCTGAGCTCGAATCATCCTGGTCGTTGATCCAGAACGAGATCACGGCTCGCGTCCCGTATCGGGATCTAGGAACCAGGCAACGGCACGTCTTTGAGTCTAGTGACCGGGCAACTGAAAACCAGTGACCCGGCAGCGAATCTACGTCCAGGAAGCAGGCAGCATAGATGATTAGATCTAAGGAATCCGTAGCGGATGTAGCAGTTCGCTGGTTTGGTCCTGGCTAGACTTACGCCGTAGGCAGTCTTCGGGGTTCGGCTTTACGAGACTTAAATTAGAAGCGCCTAGGTTCGACTTCCTCTGGACATGTGGAAGGATGTTTTGAGTAGCAGGTCACCGTTGGATTTGCTGACGTGGCTGTCCATGTCTACACCGACGCGTCGGATGGTATCTTTGTTCGGCGACTACGAACTGGATGGAATGTGGATAAGCTGGCGTCGCGATAGCGCCAGCGCGCTCCAAGTCCTGAGCGCTGCTCGGCGCGCTATTCGACCTCACGTAACGCCTGACGCTTGTCTCCGGCACCCTTCACGCCCTTCACGCCCTTCACGCCCTTCACGCCCTTCACGCACTGCACTGAACGTCGAGCAAGTCGTACGATTCATAATCCACCTGTTGAGCGGGCCTACCCTAGAGGGTCAGTCTAGGGCCGCCGACCCTAGACTGACCGTTCTGAGCGTCCCTATTCTCTCCCGGTCGCCGTTATTAGGTCGTCGATCCGCTTGCGCCGTACCAGAGGGGAGGCAAGATCGGCGTGTTAGAAAAGTTCCGCCTTTTCACTGCGTTCTTGCCCCTTTTCACACACGTTCTTGCCCCGTTTCGCTCGCGCTCTTACCGCGTTTCAGCCGCGTTCCCCGTTTCACACGCGTTCCGCGCCTGCCTTCCCCAG